CGTATTCTTCGATTTCGGAACAACTGCTAGCATGAGTTTTAATTACTGGTCATTGTTTGATTCAGTTTCGTATAATCTGCTAGGGTGCAGTTTAAAATTGTTGGTTTCAATGGGCGCGTGTTTGATTGGTGTCTGAACACGCGGAAAGAAATAGGATTATGGTCTCGGGCGCGTGTTTGATTGGTGTCTGAACACGCGGAAAGAAATAGGATTATGGTCTCCTCCTATGTTTTGATGTACTTGGAAACTATGAGAGTGGTTTAGTAAGTTAGGTGAAACTATAGCTAGGTCTAAGATGTCCTGTGTACCTTGAGGGGTAGTATGAGTGACTTGGTTATTGTTGATGGTGCTGTAGTCGTTATCTTGTAGGATTTGTTTGATAATGCGTCCATGGTTATTAGTGTTCCTACAGTTGAAGTCAGTATGTTTGGCATTTAGGTCGCCAATGATGACTATTGAGGGGTTGTTGTTGATGACTGATTGGATATACTTGGTGTCAGGGGTAATGATTGGTGATACATATAGTGCCAGGATGGCAATAGTAGTAGTATTTGGAAGGTGTAGGTGGCATAGAATGTTTTCATTGGTACAAGGAGTGTTAATGCCAGGAAAGGTAACGTTTAGATATTCTTTAATGAGTAGAGCTATACATCTTTTACCTGGGTAAGCGTGTTTGTGAATTGTTTTGTGGTATGGAATTTTAAATTTAGAAGCTTCATTTAATAATGTTTCTAATAAGTCGAACAGTTTGACGTCCTATAACTTCTGACACGTGACAAGGCATGACTCTACACCAAGTACAGAAAAATTGTCTGATCAAAGCGTTGATCTGTTTCCAGAAAGATTATACCAAAAGCACACTATTTTATACAAAACAGGTGTGTATGTGTGTTTTGACAAACAAATACTCAAAACAATTTATACAGACCAGAGTAACAATTCGTACATGTTTGTCTGACCATACACTACCTTCTTTGTTACTACTCGGACATTTACTCAATAACTACTCTATGCATTAGACAATAACATCAATATAGAACAGAATGCAAAAATTTTGGCCTAGGCTGTATTTTAATCACATATATTATAGTATATAATAATATATTATCATAGGAATAATTATGATATACAACAAAACAATGTACATATCCATTTAGTAAACATGCCAATGATTTTCAAAACACAAACGTTGCCGATTAAAAACAACAACAATTAAACACAGTTAAGCCTAAGAAAATTAATTATAAAGCTGTATTTATGTTATAGGAAGAATTGGAATTAAATTGAGAGCTGACTTTAACACGTGTTTTCATGAAGACATGGCAAGATGTTTATTCTCCAGTGAATGTGTTTTAAAATAATTTTTAGTAAGACTTATTTATAGTTGTTCTGGTGTTGGAACCATCTTCTATTGACAGATTAACTTACCTACTGATTGATTATTGTAGTTTAAGCTTCACTAGTTTGCAAAGATAAGTATTTATTGTTCTGGTTTGGAGGAATTTAAGGTAGAGTAGGCTGTACTGAAGTTTTGTGGATTGTACAAAGACTGAAATGTTGCCCACTCCTATGCCCTAGGCAGATGCAGTCCATAAAAATTGCAAGTTTAGCTTAAAGCTTTGTCAGATTCATTCTGGGCGTGAGTTGGTCCTGTGGTAATGCTGTGGATTTTGGACCTGGTGATTTGGGTGATAGTGGCATTGCCCTAAATACAATTACTTTTGTTCATTTTTAAAGGTGGTGTCATCTGTTGGAGCATGCGATCACCGGAACTTTTCAGTGAAAGATCAGAGAAGTTTCAGGCACGGAAATTCGAAACTGGCGTGGAAAACCAATGTAAGAGAGGGAAATGGAAGATTTTGAAAGACCCCAAACCTATAAAATATTTTAATAATTATGATGGATTTGTGTATATCATGCAGGTTTTATAAAATTTGTTAGTTGACAGAAAACTTAGACATTTTTGTGAAGTGTGGAACTAAACTATATGTTCATTTTCGTGCATGGTGCTTAAATTCCAGTAGTTTTTTCCCACAATTTACTATTACAAATGTTGTCGGTACAAACATGAACTAAGACAAAAAATAAAAAAAGAAAATAAACAAAAAAAATTATACAAAAATGGTGTTATCCCTGTCACATGGATGTAAAACTAATGTAATGTTAGTGTTATATAATTTTGAACAGTAAATGCCTACAGTTTTGTGTCTTTGAATTTGTAAAGCCTATGTTAAACAAGACAATCTTGCTCACGCATTGGCATAACATTGGTTTACTCAAACAAATAAACTGTATTTTACGATCTATTTACAGGACTGACTGTGCTACTGGGGGGGGGGGGGGACAGTGCGTATAAAATATTAAATACTGAAACCTTTGTATCTTTGTAATATGCAATTTATATATATTTAGAAAAGTAATTCTACGATACTGCTTAAAATATATTTGTCCAACACTTTGTTCAAAACGAAGGCAAATAAATCATTACAAATGGGGATTAACTGAATAATTCTGGTATCTTTTAGGGGTCAAAATAATGTGGACAGCGACTCATGGTGATTCTCAAGCACAACTGTACAGCATTATCGTTTATTAACACAAACACGTTATCTGCGATTTGTAGTTACAGAAAAAATACTATTTAAAAAAAATACGTTTATAGATGCCAATATACAATCATATATACACATATATTTGTTTTTCCACAATAAGCCTTGAAATATTTCTCCTCCAAACACATCTTAAATCGTGTTATACTAACACACAAAATAATAGTCTCTAACATACACATCACCCAGAATGATCTAACGCACAACAGCTGAAACAACATAAGTAGTATATTTTAATATTTCTATCGCACATGTGAGAGCAATAACAACAACATCTTATTATAGTTCAACAATGTATGTTTCAAAACAACATTTATTACACATATTAGTCGCACAGATGATGAAATTACCGTTTATATAGGAAACAGAAAATATATTAATCCCAAACATAATAAACTAAGAAGTTATGGGATCTTGTCAAAATTTAACATGAGGGTAGAATGCCTTGAGCAGGCACTATGGTACATTTTATATTAACGTTTATAGCAGCAAAACAATAATAACACATAATGCTTAAGCTATAACTTGAACTGACAGTACGAAAACAACGAGAACGATAGATTTGGAAAACACTAGCTTGTGTTTTTCGGACATTTAAGTATTGTAAGCTAGGTTGCTTGCTACAACTCATATTCAAAAAGAACCGAAATCGATTAAAATACATAAACTTTGATTTGCACAACCTTTGTAGGTTTGTTTACGCAGACATTTTTATATTATTTTATTGCAAAAAGAAAAGAAAAACTATCCAGCTAGATCTAAAGTGTATAGCACCAGGAAGTTAAGTAATGTGTATTTTGTATATATGTCCAAGATACTTACTAAAGCCATCTGACACCATCCCTTATTTTGAACTGATGATTGGGGAGATGGCAGCTAGTCGGCAGCATCCTACTACCTCATATCTATGCTAAGAGATTGACTGTCACTATTATAACATACCCACAGCTTAAAGAGCAAAAAAAATATTTTAAGATATTGCACAGATTTAAACCAGCTAGTCATCTCAAAAATCCAGACCTCTATCACAGGCCCAACCCATGCTGAGGTAGTTAAATAAAAACATAATAGTATTAAGAATATCTTTCATGGTTTAAATAAACAGACAATGTACATCACATTAAACTACTGTAACTGTATTAAAACATAAGTAGAGACATTCACAGATAATAAAAACAGTTTCATTTTCATTGCAATTAATTCCGTTACTTATATTAAGTTTGCAAAAACAACAACTTTTATTATTTATTCTGGCTCAAAATTTATTGTTTCGAATGGTTAATATTATCTCATCTGTGTACAAGGTGTTTTGTCATAATATATAAAAGTTGTTAGATGGGGAGAAAAATGCAAATAAAAAATACTCTTATCCAGGTGCTAAACAGTGTAGACAATTAGAAACATAAAGCATTAAAGTAGAATACTTGCTGAACAAAGTTAATCCATCTATGTAGTTTATTGAGCCACAAATGCATTAATGAAAGTTTGACACATCAATGTAATTCTAAACCATAAAATATATATTGATTTTGACTTATCTATAAAATTACAATAATTTTTTCTTGACTAAAATTACACAACTTCCCAAGATATGATTCTTAATCAAGCAATACGCCATGTAGTACTTTTTCAGTTGTTTTACAAAATTTCCTTTGATCATGCTCAGATATTAAACATCATCTCTGACACCTTTTCATAATTCATGTAATTAAGTTTCTTTTACCATTAGGGTATGAAGTATTAGGTTGTGATGAGATAGTAAATAAACCATTTGACTATTACTTCGTTGAAAATAGAAGAAAATTTCTTGAAGTAACAGAAATACAAAACAAACTTACAAATCACTAAAGGCTATTAGTACATGTAAAAACAAGGAACCTAATTTTCATGCTTCACAAAAGGTATATGATTATCTTTGTGAGAAAATTTACTTCTAGTATTTTGCAGGTGTTGATATATTTTGTTTTGTTGTAAATTCAAAACACATATTATCCAAAAATCCTACAAATACGATTAATTTTTGTGGCAAATCTGCATTTTTCAGATGTCCGATTACATGTTTTTCATTTCCCTCTTTTTCTCAATTTTTCTTTCTGATTTCAATAGACTATTTGAATAATTTACTCCTATATTAGTGCTTAATTTTGTATTTTATTGTGGTTATGTATTTGGAAAAGCTTACCTAGGGTATTTGAAAATATATACATATCTTAAGAGAATTATTTTCACATACTTTTTAAAGTATTGGAGTTTTCCAACAAGTAAAATAAACGAATGCTGTTAATTTTCAAGAATTTTTACACATTTACAGCTTGTAATAATTTACAAGAAAAATTAAAAATCTTCTGAAGTGTGATGAAATATTCTGTTACAAATCTGTACAGACATGTATCACTACAATGTGACAACAGTAATGCTTCTTGTTCAGTTGCACTTAATGAGCTGGTCTTTGGGTGTCTAAATATTTGGAACAAATGAAAATCAAATTATGGAAATGTTTTATTTGAAAAGGTAAAAAAAAATGTTGTGGTTGTTATTACAGAGATGTAAAAACTTTAAACGAATGTAAGATAAACTAATTACAAAATGTGCAAAAACAAATGCTGCAAGTAGATTAGGTCTAACAATGTTATTTAAATGCATGAAGAATCTGAAATTTATATCTAATCTTTAACTGATATAACAATACACAATAACAATACTTAGGTTATTTACGTCAGTTGTAATAAAACTCAAATAATATAAATTCCATGCAAATCTTCATTAAATGAAATTTTTCCATGTATAATAATATATAATAATATAATTATAATAGCAAATTATAGAATGTAAAACAAGTTTTAAATATTCTACTAAAACACCAAAATTGTTGGACTCGATAATAAGTAAAGAGATGAGTAGATAATTAAACTAAAAATTTAGTTTTACAGTACTGTTACTGTTGGGGAGTTTCCAAATGAACACATTTGTTTACAAATTACATGAAAATTAATATGCCTATTATTCATGATAAAAATCATGTTTGGATGCGTTGTTTTTACTACATTCTTTTTAATCTGTCCATTAAAGGATTTCAAATAAGAAGGGTGGAAAACAAAAGTTGAGACCCGTGTTGTTTGTGTTTCATAAATTACTGCCCAGGAAGTTTTTTGCTGAATAGCAAAACTTTGCAGAAAGGTTGATCTATGACAGGAAAAGTTTGTCTGAAACACTCATAGCTGCAGTAGAAAAAGCTAGTATTATAGTTGTCAATGCTTCACCAACTTTTGACATTCAACATTGTAACATTAGTGCTTGAGTTTACATATGTAAACAGCATTTCTAATGAAGTTTTAGTTGTAATATGTTTGTCATAGTAGAATGAATGATAAATTTCTACTTGTTTTTCCTTCACAGTATAAAATCATTCACCAACTAAATCATTAAAAAGCAGTAGTAGAACTTCATATGTATATCAAGAATACAAACTAAAGAATACAAAAATTTACTTACCAAGTATTATATGCAATAATAAAGCAATATTATCAAAATAATACTACAGGTTATAACATTTCGAAAAAGTAAAAAGCTTTCAACAAAACTGGCATATAAAGCACATTAAACCTCATCCAAAAATTCAATAGGGTAAGTGGGGTTAAATGCAAATTGAGTTGGCACACCATATTTTACAGGCTGTTTAGTTCTGCAGTTTTTAGTGCGGATTCATAGTGACGTTTACCATCCAAGTACAGCATGGCCTCTATATTACAAATAAAAAACTGAATTATTATACAAAGTGATTTGAAAATCATGTAAAATTTCTGAAACAATCTTATGATATTACACAGGCCTACAAATTTAAACTTCATAAAAGTTCTGTTGGTTTAATAATGGATTTTCCATAATTCAACTACACAGATTTTGAAAATAATACTCATATTTTTCTATCACGTAAGGATCTTTTAAAAATCAGGAAGAAAAAAACTCTTACATAGATCAAATTATTATTTCATTTACCACAATGTACATTTGTTTATTATTAAGTTTGTTAACAAAAATACAAACAAACTGAAGGAGAGGGAAGAACAAAGATGTCGAACGAATATGTATCCTCATTAATCTTGGTTTTTTGTGAAATCTACATACTTTAGTCTCAAAGCTATGTGTCGTGGTCTTTATTTTATGTATTGCATCTGAAGCATCTCATTTCAATGACCAGCAGTAATCAGCCATCATGCTGATGTTCCACCTTCCTTGATGCCTTTCTCAAATCTTCCCCCTTGTTCTTCACTGATGGCACTGACATTTTCAGGGAACTAGTAAATACATGAGTGTAAGAAATGAACTTAAGCTCATATTACAACCCAACTCTTGGAATTTATTGAGCATGTTATTGAGAATATTTTCGTAGTTTGGGTCCTTGTTGTTTCCTAAAAATTTGTCAATAACATCTTTAAAGGTAACCCACACTTCTTTTTCAAATTTCCTCATTATCCTTTCGAAATGTTCATCCGAATTCAATTTCCTAATCTGAAGCCAACAAAAATCCCTTCTTTAAGTTCCACTTCTGAAAGAGCTGTAAATTGCCCACACAGATACTTGAAACAGTTGCCATCTTTGTCTAAGGCTTTTACAAACCGCTTCATCAAGCCCTGTTTTATGTGAAGTGGATGTTATATGACTTTCTTTGTGTCAACCAAACTTTCACGTTCAATGTTTTTTGATCCTGGTATTAAGCTGACTCTTCATGGCCATTGCTTCTTTATCCAGTGTTGATTTTGTGCACTGCTGTCCCATTAACACAAGAAACATGAAAACTTTGTATACCCTGATTGTTGACCCAACAACATACAAAGCACTTTTAAGTCTCCAGAAAGTAACCAACTATATTCTTTGTATTTGACCTTATTAAGAAGAAGTTCGAGATTTTTCGTACGTTTCGATTGAGCAACACGAACAGATACATATATGTTACCATTGTGAAGGAGAACACCTTTTAGACATCTTTTGGAGGAATCAATGAACAATCGCCACTCACTTGGTTCATAGACTGCAGCTCCTAGCATTGTTGTTGCAATCAACCAGTGAACCTTCTTGCAAAAAGCATGGTATAAACTCTTTCTCACGATTTCTGTACCAGTAAAATGATGTCCCTGGAGAAAGTAAGTTATTAACCAGAAGTCTGGACCCCAAAATCTCTGAGAATCCTTTGGAAGGCCCAAATCTCTCACCAAATCATTGAGCTCACCTAGTGTGAAAAGTTGTGGTTCACCAGACATTTCAGGTTGAAAACAATCCTTATCATCATTTCTATTGACATCAGATTCAGAATCAGACAAAACTGTATCAAGATTCTCCAGTAGAGTAGGTACAGGTACATCAAGTCCATGGAATTCCAAAAGGCAAAGATTTTTTCATACCTTT